CGTTCGAGCCAGTTCACGTAGAAAGCCGACAGCTACTCCAATCCGTCTTTCGATCTCTTCTTCCAATTTTCCATCACTCGTAAACACGAGTGAACTTCTCCACTTATTCCGCTGCCTCTCCGTTAATCTAATAAAGCAACGGGAAAGGACTAGGCATCTCGTTTTAGATCCGCTCGAATGCATGCTGACTGCGAACATTTCTAGAGAAAACTGTAGATCAGTTTCAGAAGATGCCAATAAAACAAGGTCGTCTGCAAAGAGCAGCCTTCACGTCCTTACATCTCCTATGCAGATGCACTCGTCTCTTTGGCTGCTCCTGACTATTCTATCAATGTACAACAGAAACGAGAAAGCAGACAGAACGCAGCCTTGGTGGAGATCAGTGGTGCCAACACAAAAAGGCTTCAACTTAACACCATTTACTCTGGTGCAGCACCTGCTATCAAAATTTAATGATTGAATGGCCCTTAGCAATTGGCCATTTCTCGTATGCACGCAAGCACGCCCACAGACTGTTGCTTAGAATCCACGCATGGGCATTCTCTAGGTCAATAGCGCACATATACACCGGATGGGCGAATTCTCACGGTTTCTCAACAATCTAGCTTCGGGAAATATATGGTCAGATGTGCTTTGATCGGGACGGAAGTAACACCATTTTTCTTGTATCCTGGTGTCAGCTATTCCGCGGCACCTACTTTCTAGTACCACTGCGTAGAATTTGCCTGTGTGATTCAATGAGGTAATGCCCGATAATCGGAGCGCTCCCTGTGATCTCTCTTCTTGAACAGGCGTGCAACAACCCCTGCACTCCACTCCGCAGCTGTTTTACCCGTAGCCATTGCAGTTTAAAAAACACGCGTAAGCCAGCATATGACTTATTCGCCTAATACTTTGAGAATTTCAGGGCGTATTTCATCAATTCCAGCAGCCTTAACACTTATCAAGCTTTTAACAGCTTGTGTAATTTTATCTACAGAAATAGTAATATCCGTTCCCTGCTGCTGTACAGGGACGTCTTCCTGCGGTTGCTCAGGGTTAAAGAGTTCTTCAAAATATTCTCTCCATCGGTGAAGAATGTTATTATTTTTAGTACGATGGTGTCCAAATCTGTCCTTCAAGATTCTCAGAACTGTTCTTTTTTTCACCTCGGAGCCAGCAAATCGTCTGCAAGAATGCATTTTTTCGCCCTTTGGAGATTCGAGCACCACACCTCACTGAACTCCTCCCAGGAAAGAGCTTTTGCTTTCGCCACTGCTTTCGATG